AGAAACAATGAAGATGATTTCGCGTATTGTAAAACCTTTTATTTCGGAATCTATCGTTTAGAATATTTCGATGAGAGGTTTCCATCCGTATAATTTCGTACAATAGTGGAGTGCCCGGGATCGCACCTTCGTCCGATGTGGGACCCGGGGTTTCCAATCCGAGACTCGTTGATACTATTACGCGCTCGACACGTCGTTGATTACTATACGATTGGTAGATATTTACCAGTTCCACAAATTACACGCTTCGCCCGCTCCAGTCCGATTGCAGCGACCAGATCTCGTCACGGACGTATCGTCGCCTTAATCGCGGCAAACCTCGGCGTCGGGTAAGAACGTATCGTTTAATGCCTCAATCGGTACGAATTTTATCGATCGAAGATTCTCCGATTTCCTCAATTTCATTTCAACACACCCTTAGAAACATTCCTCGCGATAACGTCCATAATCGAACCATTATCTAGTTTGTTCGTCGCATCCAATTACTTACATATTACGCTTCGTTACCGCGAACGAGACCGTCACTTAACACCGACACTACTTCCCAAAATCCAACCCCTAAGTCTTCGCCTTGGGAAGTAGAAACGTAAAGGAGCTCCGGTACACTGGATATACACACTATAGTCTGTTAATCTTCTCCGCGCAACTTTCTGAACAAACACGCATTCTCATTTATACACATAGATTATATTTTATAATACGTACGTAATTGGGGTCGTTCGACCCTAACTTTTCCATATTTATTTTCGATTTTTATTTAGCTAACTCCGTTCTCGAGGTTAACGAAGGACGGGCGACAGTGGAAACGTATAGTTCCGCAATTTAAAAATTGGTGCCGAATTACGTGTCGATACATAATGGAATTAAATTCTGCGCGCGCATCATGGCGTGCTTTTGATTTATCTGGTGCGAAGGCGTAGAATGACTAGCTGGAAAATTCTACACATCTTATTCCGACTGCCGTAACTTTCGCAAAGAGGCTCAAAGAGTGTTTCGAGAAACGAGTTTATAAATCGAAAGCTCATATACCGGAAGAATGGGAGACGCAATTTGCGATTTGGACCAACTGTTGGACCACTGTATACAAGGATGTCTGATCAATCCATCCACACCCTTTAGGAATAATAAATGCCACTTTTGTACAATTAATTCAGAGGACTAAGTTCAATCCTAAAGTAACAGTTATACCAGAAATTTACGTTACACCTCGCATATTTTCGTTAGTAAATTTAACTTTAATAAAACTGAATTTCGGCAATTATAAATAATGCTACGCCATCAACTTTTCTAATAATTTTATTCTGGTGATTTAATTAACAAAGTCGTTTAGTAGATGGTGATTTATAGAAGTACTCGCACCGTTTTGTTTGCGTTACAAATGAATGTAATTACGAATAAGATATGAATTTTTTTATTAATTAAAGCTCGAATCGATTGATTCGTCAACGAGAAGTATCGACATTTTTAACCTAAAATCTCCTAAATCTAACGTAACATCTAATCGTGTTTGTTTCTTTCCGAGAGTGTACGCATTGACGTAATTTCTTCATTTTTAAAAATAAATAAGTTTTTAATTAAAACATAAACGAATTATGAAAACTTTGAATTACATCGTAAACTATTTTATGTACAGATTTTAGTTTTTATAAATTCATTAATAATTAATATAATTTATTGAGAAAATACTTCTAAATTTGTATTTATGTAAACATTTCTTAACCTTTTGTTTTTTAACTATCGAAAAACATATTTTTCTTGGTAAAATTAGGATGCGTACATTTCGAAGATAATGAAAAGTTTTAAAAAGTAAATAAATAAAGTAATTTTAAGGCTTTTAAATATTTTTTTTTTCTTTAAAAAAGAAATATGGTTAAATACGACCTCGAGTTGTACCATGGATATCCTTTTGCCATTTATTCCAAAGGGTGGACTGGCAATTTTGAAAAAGGCGCAATAGTTTTTTTCTGAATTTAATTATATTCAGAAAGGTCTGAATTTACATTCGGAAGTCCAGTTACGCGTCAGTCTCGGTAGATGAAGTCTGATACAATGGGGCGGGATGCGCTTCGACCTCACCAATTAACAGCCAAACACAAATTAATAAATATAATAAAAAATTAAAGCAAATAGTAAAATAATAAATTTTATGCAATGCATTAGTCTATCTATTAACCCTGGAACGAATAATAGAGTCAAACTGACGCGGCTGTGTTTTTAATTTTGTACACTAGCGGTTTTAATTTCTATACTGCATTTTCTCCCTTAAATTATTTATTTGTACGAAACGAAATAATATTATAAGATTTCCAAAACTGCTATAATCTTACACTACATAAATGCGCAATGGGATCAAATTGACCTACCCGTATTTTTCAGCGATTGAACGGTAAATAAATCTGGAAATTAAAAACTTTATTATCGAGAACTATTGCGCCGATTTGTAGCGATAAATACAATCCTTATTTCAAAGCTCTTATGTTTATAAACAGATTTGAATACATCAGAAAATTTTTCGTTTCGGTTACAAAAGAATCTGATAGATGCCCGAAAACTGAAATTAGGGGCAATAAACTTCACTCGAGAAGTTTCCTTAGAAAATTGCCGTACAGTGACAATTTACCATTTCGAGGAATACGTCCGTTTACTTTGTTCGTGCCTAATAAATCTGCAAAATATGAACGAAGGTATTTGGATAACTAATGCAAATACGTTCAATGCTATCGATATCATTGGAGATATACTGGAGAAGACAGCCAAATAAATCTTAATTTTTAAATTGTTGATAAATTTACGGTCCTCGTTCGAAATTGTGGTAAAAATATAAGATTTTTACCAGTGTACCACTTATACGGAAAGATTGCTAGTAAATGGTCTGGCCTTAGTAGAGAAGTTACCATTAACTAAAACCAGCGCCTCGTTCCTGTTTGCCAGTGCCCGCTGCCACCGAGTGGATAAAAACCACCTAGAGCTATCGGAATCAAATGAAGGCTCGATGACAAGGAGTAAGAATGTTAAATCGCCGTAAAGTAGATTAAATGCGGACCATAATGTATTTGCCCGCAATTATAAAAGCCAAGCTCGCCGGCGATCGAGTAAATAAAACCACCCAACACTAGTAGTTGGTCTCGGGTTCGTGCCAATAGGCCGCCACTTTTTGGATTTTCTTCCCGTTTGTAATATCTAAATAGGGGCCAGTTTCGTGTAGAAAATCCTTCCGGGAGGTATTCTACCCGGCAGGATTTTACGTACACGAATAAACAAATAGATATTCCTATTTATATGAAAACAAATTGTTCTAGACCACTATATCTTAATTTCTTGAGTTTTATATAGAAAACTGATAATGCGAGCTACCAAAGAAAAATAAATAAATGCTTAATATTACTTAGAAGCGCGCTTTAATGAAACAATTACAGAAAGGCCAAAATTAAATCTAAAATTATACCTTATAATGCAACACTTATCATCGGACAATGGCTCGACAACAGTTATCAGTTAGATCAAATGGCATGGAAAATTCTCGCAAACCTGAAACTATTGTAAATTTGATTCATACGACGTAGCCGATACAAATTTTTTGATTATATACGAGGCCCATGATCCTTTCTATTACAAATTGAAAGATGTATTTTCCAAAAGATTTAGCGAAGGATTAATAATACCAAATATCCCGAAATCGAGTGAAAATTCGCATCTGAAGAAATATATAAAGAACCAGCAATTATTTATTGCCACATCGTCATAATGCCAAGCCGCAATTCTTAATCACATTTTTAATTTATTTAATTTAAACTATACGCTCTCCATCTCAAATTAGTAGTGGCTCGCTCCTGTACGGTACATTACAGTTTTTCTTTTACAACAGAGTCTTGCCGGTCATCTATCGATTTAAGAGAGTCCCAAACACCCAGTGGCCGCTGGGTATCAGACCGAGCCTACGATTAAGGCATAGTCTCTTTGTACTCTGTAGTGCCATTTGGAGAAGCAGAGACAATTTACTTAGAGTTTGTTACACGAGGACCACTGCCAAAAAATTCGTGGGGATTTTTCGATCCGTCTGGATCGATCCCGGGTCCCCTAAAGCGGTAGTCTGCTCGGCCATCCGGCCGTCTACTTTTATAATTTTTATGACAAACTTTTCCACAGAATTTAACACTTGTTTACCGAATATTTAAATGATGAAATTACGCGTCATCAAAAATATAAAAATAGAACGATTATTTAACAATTTTGTGACAGTTTATAAATTATTTATAGCAATATGTTACGGGGTCCAGAAATCGGGTCCATCGATGGCAAATCTTTACCGTTGGCCAGTCAAAACTAAAATCGAAATTTAGTAACTCTAAATTGAAGGTCAAACACTTCATTTGTAAAATTAAAAACTAACAATAATAAATGCCGGCAAATTTTCTAATATGACTTATATTACAAAATGATCAATTCCGTTTAAGAAAAAATAAAATAAATATTCCGTTTAATAGGAAATTCTGTGGTTTATTTCACGGTAATTCTCGTATCCGAGATTCGTAATTTGTGGTATTTTCGCCACAACTTTAGAACCCCGCTTTCACACTACACGTGAAAAGTTTTCGAGTTTACCAAATATATTTTAACAATTTTGAAATACTTTCTAAATATTAATGCGGGTTCCTTCAAATCACCGCGTGAATCAATGGATGACGTGGACACGATTACTCCATTGCTTGTCTAGAGTCTTGACAATTGTCTAAAGCTCCGAACGAACAATAGTTCGTAAATCGATGTATAAATTCATACTTAAACAAACAACTTTAACAATACAGCGAGCCACGAGAAGTAGAATGCAATAAATAAAATTATTAATTTGGGAAGGGACCGGAATATCTGATTTTGCCAAATACCCGAAATTTTCCAACTGTCATCGTATTCCGCAATACCTTTGACGTATTTAATTACATTTACTTTTTTAGTCGTTTCATTTTTCCTACTTCGTCACGCTTTATATCGTTTCGATCTCGTGCCTTTCTGGCTGCTAATATATAAACGGTAGCGAGCGTTTCCACCAACAGTTTCGTGTGTCTGCAGAGAATACGTTACACGTTCTACTGTACGAGTTACGAGATGATGCCGACGGGCTTCCTACTCCTCCTCTTCACCGGTAATTACTCGTTTCGTTACAGAATTTAAATTTATTTCTGCTAAAATAACTTATATTTTTATACGTCAACAGGTGTAGCGTTAGCGTATTCTCCTTTTCAAACCAACCAATATATGGATACGGTTCTTCACACCAATCTTCCTAATGCCGGCCTACGTTCCAATATCGATCCGGCTATATTAAACAATTTCCAGTTACAACGTAATGTTGAATATTTTAAAGGAAATATGACGGGCTTGTTTAGGGGAAGAAGGGCCGGAGACTGTTCTCCGATATATCGCGATCGCTACGGTAACGCTACCCTCAACTGTACAATCCAATTCGGAGATATAAAGTTTCGATTCCAGGGTAAGTTGACCGAGGGGAGGACGACGACGCTTTTCTCCGCCACTGCCACTATGTCTCCCGGTTACGCTTACGTCGAAGTAACTTCGAGATACAATTTCAATTCTCCGTCGATGAGAACGATGCATTTGACTCAAAATGGAAAATTTTCTGTGGCATTAAGAGGATTAGATAGAGCTAGTAGAAAATTGATAAAGCTTGCGAAGGATGGTTTCATTCAGAGAATATCCAGCGAATTTTTTAATGTATTTCAACACAACTACGTCCCCGCTATGGGCACAGCTTGCGCCCGTACCCGAATGCCTATATAAAATATTGGAATAAAATATTTAGCCAATTATTTTATATTCGAATGTAAATCGCTTTGTATCCGCTCGTACGTTCTGAATAAATTTTGGTATTTGTACTTATTATAAATTGTCTTTTATTTAAACTAGCTTTACGACAATTATTTCGCGCCTTCTCTACGATAATACTAAATTTTTCGATATAATAATTTTTTGAAATTACGAAACGTAACGTTGCGCCAGTCGTATTTTATCCGAACACTTTCGTAAATTGTTAAAGCTGTGTTTTGTTTTATAATGCTCCGGAAAATTATGTGGTGGAGAACGGAACCGATTGGCCAATCGGTTCCGTTCTCCGAACTCTGGTAATTCTGTCGCGGGTTGGCGCTTGGCCAGGACGGGTTGGCCACGTAAAGTTTTCCGGGTTTTCTCGCTTAATAGGGGCCAGTTACCCTTAAAAAGACCTCTCCGAAGACATTCCCGTAGGCAGATCGCCCAAGCGTTATGTTGCCTTAACTTAATAAACAAACAATTTAGATTCAGAGTTATATTCTTAAAACTCATTCCGGGGCGTTTAGAAATAATACAGCATATAATATGAGCCCATTTAGTGAATAAGATCGTAGGATAGGNTTCCTTCAAATCACCGCGTGAATCAATGGATGACGTGGACACGATTACTCCATTGCTTGTCTAGAGTCTTGACAATTGTCTAAAGCTCCGAACGAACAATAGTTCGTAAATCGATGTATAAATTCATACTTAAACAAACAACTTTAACAATACAGCGAGCCACGAGAAGTAGAATGCAATAAATAAAATTATTAATTTGGGAAGGGACCGGAATATCTGATTTTGCCAAATACCCGAAATTTTCCAACTGTCATCGTATTCCGCAATACCTTTGACGTATTTAATTACATTTACTTTTTTAGTCGTTTCATTTTTCCTACTTCGTCACGCTTTATATCGTTTCGATCTCGTGCCTTTCTGGCTGCAAATATATAAACGGTAGCGAGCGTTTCCACCGAAGTAAACAGTTTCGTGTGTCTGCAGCCAATACATCGTCCGTGCGAATACATTACACGTTCTACTGTACGAGTTACGAGATGATGCCGACGAGCTTCCTACTCCTCCTCTTTACCGGTAATTACTCGTTTCGTTACAGAATTTAAATTTATTTCTGCTAAAATAACTTATATTTTTATACGTCAACAGGTGTAGCGTTAGCGTATTCTCCTTTTCAAACCAACCAATATATGGATACGGTTCTTCACACCAATCTTCCTAATGCCGGCCTACGTTCCAATATCGATCCGGCTATATTAAACAATTTCCAGTTACAACGTAATGTTGAATATTTTAAAGGAAATATGACGGGCTTGTTTAGGGGAAGAAGGGCCGGAGACTGTTCTCCGATATATCGCGATCGCTACGGTAACGCTACCCTCAACTGTACAATCCAATTCGGAGATATAAAGTTTCGATTCCAGGGTAAGTTGACCGAGGGGAGGACGACGACGCTTTTCTCCGCGACTGCCACTATGTCTCCCGGTTACGCTTACGTCGAAGTAACTTCGAGATACAATTTCAATTCTCCGTCGATGAGAACGATGCATTTGACTCAAAATGGAAAATTTTCTGTGGCATTAAGAGGATTAGATAGAGCTAGTAGAAAATTGATAAAGCTTGCGAAGGATGGTTTCATTCAGAGAATATCCAGCGAATTTTTTAATGTATTTCAACACAACTACGTCCCCGCTATGGGCACAGCTTGCGCCCGTACCCGAATGCCTATATAAAATATTGGAATAAAATATTTAGCCAATTATTTTATATTCGAATGTAAATCGCTTTGTATCCGCTCGTACGTTCTGAATAAATTTTGGTATTTGTACTTATTATAAATTGTCTTTTATTTAAACTAGCTTTACGACAATTATATCGCGCCTTCTCTACGATAATACTAAATTTTTCGATATAATAATTTTTTGAAATTACGAAACGTAACGTTGCGCCAGTCGTATTTCACTTTCGTAAATTGTTAAAGCTGTGTTTGGTTTTATAATGCTCCGGAAAATTAAATGCTAAAACTTTTATTCTTATATTAAAATTTTCAGTAATTAATTTTGTAGCCGTAGTTTCTCGGGATTCTTCGCCTGTCTAACGCCTAAATAAAATTAATTTCCTGTAGAAAATCCTCTTGGAATGCATTCCTCTGGCAGATGTCGCGAGTGTCGCGTTGTCTTATCCATCAATCCAATTTAAACATATATTGGTAGTTTGTGGCATTTCAATTTGCCCGAATCCGCCATCACTTAACAAAACCAATCTTATTCCGGGAGAAAATTTTTGAATCCAAATAACACGACCTTGGGTTTGCACCGGAAGTTGGTATATAGTTAATCGGCGCTCCCTGCCCCTAATATCTGGTCTCGTCTTTTGTCCTCTAACTCCGTTCTGGAGATTAAGGAAAGACAGACAGTCGCAATTTATAGGTCTACAATTGTTTTAAATTGCAGCCTGATGAGATTCGTGCAGTTTCGTGCTAATGAAATTTGGCAATAACAATAAATAAATAATAAAATTAAAACATGGAGTGAAATTGGCCATTACGCATTTGAGAAAAATTGCTCATACGAAATACTAGACGCACGGTTTTCTTTTTATGAGAAAAGATATTAAAATTATTATGAACATACACTTTATAACCAGATATTTCCACCGCCATCCATCTGTTTTATTTAGATTCATTTACAAATCTAAAATAGTTTTATTAAAATTTCCCAGAAAATTTAAAACATTAACTTTTTAAGTAATATTCTTTATTTTCTAAATTATCATCAAACTGCCTTTCTTGATTAATATACTAATTTATTCAAACATTCGCGTTTGTTCTCTACTTAAATATATAGGCCTAAATTTAGTCAAAAGAATTCATACGAAATATGCACCGTCTGAAGATACGTAATTGCGATACGAGTGCATTCATATTATATTACTATTTATTTTAAACTATTCGAAATTAGTGTTGTAACGAATAATATATTCGGCCTCAGGCCGAATACCGAATAGTAACCGAATATTCGTTACATCACTATTCGAAATGCATTTCAGTTCCACGAATATAAAGAAAATGCCATTAAAATATTTTGAAAAGGCGGAGAATAAAAATTATTGTTATTATGTTCCTCATTTATATTACTGAAATATTAACTATTAAATTAAACAAAATTTTTTATATCAAAAATTAAGCACGATTCGTCATTATAGGGCGGCTTTAACAAGATGTTACCACTTAGATGGAGGTGCGTGGTCACCGCAGTAAGGATACTAGGGACGTACCGTACTTTGAGAATTCCACAATCCGGTGGTGATTTTTGTACAAGACGGACAACTAAACAGAAGACAACCCGCCACTAACAATCCGACATAAGTTACGCGCGTATTACGATTAACTCGTTCGAAGCGTATCCCGTACGTCGTTTGGCATAATTTTGTAATTTTAATTATTATAATAGATGGATTGGATCGATGGTTTAAAGGAACGAAACTTTATGGGCCATCTGTCCAGGAGGATGCGTCCCGGGAGGGCAATTTATGGAAATCGAGTCCCTATTAAAGTGTGAGTAGCAGGGGGTCACTGGGTCGAACCCTAATGACCGCTTAATCTACACGGGCCTAATAGACCCGCTCTCAGTTGTCGGATGGCTTGTTTTGTCGGATGACACCAATATGTGCAAACCGAGGGGATAGAACAAAAGTTTCTCCCACTTACCGGCGCGCTGTCAGAGAGTGGCTATAGGAGGGCAAAAGGAGTGGGAGGCGTAATGAAGTCGTGATGAGATGTCGATAGTACTTAACAAGAGTCATTAAATTAGGAATAACATATTTAATATAAACTTAAATATAAATACAAATACATTAAAATTACACATTAATTCTAAACAATATGAAAGTGATAATTATAATAAATTCCGAGTCGCGACAATATCGAACAACCGATGTCCGTCTATCCCGTAAGTGGGACCATCAAAGGTCCTCGACACAAAATAATTCTAAGTCCTATCCAAAGGAACAGATAAATAAATTCAAAGTTCCGAGTATATCGGTAAACGACAAATTTCTAAGTCCCGAGTATACCGAGAGACAATATTTTCTAAGTCCGAGTATACCGAGAGAGAGTGAAGTAAAAACAATCTAAGTATTTACCTCTTTAGGTCGGCGATCAGAAACCTTGAAGTCCTTCCAGAGTAGACGCTTGTAGTCTTCTTTCTTCGATGATCGCGTCCTCCGATGATCGCCTCGAGATCTCCGATCATTCCCCTTTTATACCTTTTTAGCGTGGGAAATCTCGGGGATTCTTCTGACGCAAACTGTCACTTCTCCCGATTTATGACAGTCTCCCCCGTCATGGGTGACGACAATGCAGACATCGCTTGACCAATTAATGTTAAAGTCGTCATCACCTGGGGAGATGACTGACCATTTTTGGTAATGTTCTCACCGTAAGGGTGCCCTTGTAGGTGACCTCTTGTCTACTCTCCATACAGGAACACCCATTCGTCTCCGTCCATCGGACATCCGCAGGAGACTACTCCATTACAAGGTGTCTGCGGTGTGACCAATTAGCAAAACAAACAAATGTCCCGGGGAGAGGTGATTTCTTCCGCGGTCGCCTCGGACGACTTCGTCCTAGGGATGACCTTCTTGACGGACGAATTACGCAGTTCAATATCCGGGGTCTATTCCTCGGACATTAGGGTGAGAACGGGAGAAATAACGGAAATAATGACGAAAGAAATAAAAAAATTTCTCATACGTTAGTCAGAATTTCACAAAAGTATTAAACGAGTGAAAACCCAGAAAATTTTCCTATTACCGAAGCGCGAATCCGGGACCAACTACCAGCGTTTAATGGCTTTATCCACTTAGGCACTGGTGGACTACTACGTACAATAGATTACTATTTATACCAGTGAAGTCATTCGTATACGTTCTTTCCGCGGTTTTGCTCGCTCGTTTTCTATATTTTGCCAGTTATTTGTTAGTTAGAGAAAGACGCCACTCCGCCATTTTACCAAACCAAACTAATTTCATTGCGAAAGACGATTAAAGAAGCAA